TTTTTGAAGAAAAAGATTCAAAGCCAAGGTCGGGGTTTATAGTCAAAGAACAAGTGCTACAATTTGAAGGCATGTTGCGTTTTCTAGACATACCAAAGTTGAAAAAGAAAATCATGGAGGAAGTGTTGGACAATCTTCACCGTATTTAACTCTACATGAAATAGGAGGAACTTTGCCAGCAACCTCAGCTCAACCCTTTATCATAAAAGAAATCAAGCAAAGATAAATGGAGGATGTTTACTTCAAGAAGATTTTTGAAGAAAAAGATTCAAAGCCAAGGTCGGGGTTTATAGTCAAAGACCAAGTGCTACAATTTGAAGGCATGTTGCGTTTTCTAGACATACCAAAGTTGAAAAAGAAAATCATGGAGGAAGCACATGCTCTAAGTTTGCAATTCATCCTAGAAGCACCATAATGTACCAAGATCTGAAGCAAGTCTACTAGTGGTGCAACATGAAAAGAGAGATAGCAGAGTTTGTTTCTCGTTGCCTTTAATGCCAACAAGTAAAAGTCGAGCCCCAAAAGCCTGCCGGTCTTCTTCAACCTCTTTCCATACCAAAATGGAAATGGAAACACATCACAATGGACTTTGTGGTTGGCTTGTCTCGCACACCAAGAGGTATAGATTCAATTTGGGTCATTGTTGATAGATTAACCAAGTCTGCACATTTCTTGCCTGTAAAGTCTTTTTATAATGCAGACAAGTTAGCTACTTTATATATAGATGAGATTATCCGACTTCATAGTATGCCTGTTTCTATTGTGTCGGATAGAGATTCCAAATTTGTGTCTAGATTTTTGCAGAGTTTTGCAGAAGGCATTGGGAACAGAACTAAAATTTAGTACCACCTTCCATCCACAAACAGATGGTCAATCAGAACGGACAATACAAACTTTAGAAAACATGCTTCGTTTGTATGCACTAGATTTCAAGGGAAGCTGGGAAACTCATTTGCTGTTGGCTAAATTCGCCTACAACAATAGCTTTCAAGCAAGCATTGGTATGGCATCATATGGGGCACTATATGGAAGAAAACGCTAATCACTGGTTTGTTGAGAAAAATCAATATTGGGGCCTAAAATTGTTCAAGTTACTACAGAAAAGATCAAAGTGATTCAACAATGACTCAAGACAAGCCAAAGTAGATAGAAGATCTATGCAGATTTGAGACAGATGGATGTTGAGTTTGAAGTTGGATATCATGTGTTTTTGAAAGTTACTCCAATGAAGGGCTAGACTTGATTTAGGAAGAAAGGGAAATTATCTCTGAGATACATAGTGTTGTTTGAAATTCTTGAAAAGATCAGTCCAATGGTGTATCGAGTAGTACTACCACCTGAAATGGATCAAGTTCATAATGTGTTTCATATTTCTATGTTGCGGGGATATGCTCGGGATCCTTCTCATGTAATTGATTATCGACGTTTGATCATTGATGAAGATTTGGAATATGAAGAACAACCCATCGAAATTGTGGATCGACAAGTAAAACGACTTCGCAACAAAGAAATACCAATGGTGACAATTATATGGCAAGAACGCTGCGGGAAGGATGCTACTTGAGAGGTGGAGGAAGATACGAGAATGAAGATAATATAGGCCTATAACTCTGTCACAAAAAAAGAAAAAAAGAAAAAAACTGTTACAATCAACTTCACTTAAAAATTATCCTTATAGTGGCTTCAAATTGGTCATTTGATTGGATGAGAGTGAATAAAATGGAATATAATGACATTAGAAAGAAAATGAATCATCAATTATAGTGGTGTATCATTACCATAATGCATTAAATATTTAAGATTAATTGTGATCTAAAATATAAATAAATTAAAATTGGAATAAAAAGTTAAGAATTTATAATTAATTGTGATTTAATTGAAATAATGTCATGTACTATAAATTATGTGTATGAGAGAAAAGAAAGAAAGAAAATAACAAAAAAGGCATAGGGTTTGAGAGTATTACTGTGATTTCATATCAATATTTACTGGTGTTAATGGTTGCACTTTGGTCTAAAAACATATGAAGATTTTCTGACTACATTTGAATTATAGAGGAGTAAAATGTTCTAGCCTCAAACTACAAGGGCCTAAATTTTACCCAAATATATATAGTTCTGTAAACAATTCCAATTTTCAGTTACTATGTACAAATTCCAGGCTTGGAGTTGATCTTAGACCGTGGTATTCATACCGAAACAATGCAATGTCAATTCATACACTCTCATTTCCTCAATTCAATGACATTTATTGTCAAAGCCATACTCCCAAAACCTAGCACATGAAATTAAAACATGTCTCACAACTAAATCTACCAATGAAATTGCCTAGATTTGCAGATATTACAAGAAGTTGTAGGCTGCTTGTTGCTTCTAGGAGAGTTGTTTGATAATATTACCATTTATTAGTATTAATATCTGTCTGGTGTTTGTTTTATAGCAACCTTTTAAACTAGAACAAGAAGAAGAATATAGTTTATGCCAAGTACTTACCCAAATATAGGGTAGACTATATGTACTTCCGAGATTTTTGGATATTGAAAAAAAAACAGACGGCGCAGCTTCTTTTTAAAGCTTTTTTTTAAAAAAAGAATGTTTAGGTGGACATTGTTTTCATAGTATTCTCTGCAAATGGGAAATTACAGTTGTTAAAGTATCCAATTCAAAATTAATTGGTATTGAGTGAAAAGACCCTAACATTATATTAATCAAACTTGGGCGGCTTAGATTGTCAATGCGGGATTAAGTCTAACACTCCCCCTCACGTGCAGTCCGGTGGGCGGCTTAGATTGTCAATGCGGGATTAAGTCTAACACTCCCCCTCACGTGCAGTCCGGTAGCACGTGGAGGTGATTGAGAGGTCCGATTGAAAGATGGATCGGATGAAAGAAATAGACTCGGGCAAAGATTTGTACCACGAGAGGTAGGAGACCACCCAAGACCCAACTTTGATGGCATGTTTAAACATCCAACTTAAAACCAATTGACAATGAGTGGAGAGTTCCTTCCATTATTAAACCAAGCTCGGTTCACTTAGATCGTTGATGTGGGATTAAGTCTAGCAACAGTAAATCATCTCTCATCTCCAAACTATTTAATAAAAGTGGGTCAACATAATCTCACCTATAAAATTTTCATTATGTCATTAGTTAGAAGCACCACCTGAATAATGTTACATATTATTTCAGAACAATTCCTTTCATGGCGAATTATACATTTTTTATGATAGGGTATGGAATATTATTTATTCCACCTGGGGCTAGATGAGGTGGTGCCCTAACTTGATTTTTAACTAACTTGATTTTTATTGATTAAAAAGTAGAATCTACTACATTTCTATCTCTTTTTAGGAAACAATTGAATAAGTATCCTTCTATAAATGCCGTAAACTAATATTCTAAGACCATCAAATAACTTCTTAATGAAAGTTTTCCCTCTACATAATTAAAGGAAATAGCTAATCCTTGGTGTATGGCGTGGTATGTTGATCTAAAAATGAAGATAATATAGGCCTGTAACTCTCTCTCTCTCTCACACACGCAAAAAAAGAAAAAAAAAACCTGTCACAATCAACTTCAATTAAAAATTATCCTTACAGTGGCTTCAAACTGGTTATATGATTGGATGAGAGTAAATAAAATGGAATATAATGACATTAGAAAGGAAATGAATCGTCAATTATAGTGGTTTATCATTACCATAATGCATTACGTCAATGTCCACTTAAAAAGTCTATAATAGTATCATTTGTACTGTTCTCCTAGTCATGTATGTTCACTTTCTCAGTACTACAACTTCAAATTGATTTCCTCCTCAACCCACACCACAAATCTAAAGCTTAATTATGATAAGCTCGAATTTGCTTCAATATCATCTCATAGGTGGGTGGTGGGATTTCATAACGCTTTAAACGTGTCTCATTGAAAAATACTTTGGACATTACATGCGCATGGATAAAAAGCTATTTTTCCCATGAAAAATATTGACTCCTTCAAAATGAATATCTTATTTTACACACGATAATAATAATAGATTATTTGTTAACTTTTAATTTCTCGCAAACTTAACGATATAAAATTCAATCCCCTTATCATGTTATTGTGAGTGAACTGTAAATTTTAAACGATAAATTTTTACTATTCCTCTGATCCTATTTGGTTCATCTCTGAATCTTAATCTTCTCAAACTCAGTAGTGAGGCTGCAACACATGAACCATATTGATAGCCTATCCAAAATAGAGGTTGATGTTGTGATTTGCAAATATAGGTTGACTCTTAACAAATCCTTCATGATATTCACAACGATTGATTAACAAGCAGATGAACCATTGGCTTACAATGTCAAGATTGTGCCTCTATTTTAAAAATTTGAGTACAGAAAAATTCCTGACCACTTACCATTGAATTGCCTAAATTTTAAGGTTGCTTTGATGTTTGGGTTTGATGTCGACCCAAGTGCACAACAGAACGGCATAGAGGAAATTTTAAAATAAAATCTTATGTGAGATCAATAAAAGGGACTCGTGAATTGAATTGTAAAATCAAATTGTGAATTATAATTTAATTTTTTCTATACAAAAGATATGGTGAAAAATTATAATTTATATTAAAATTAATAAAATGAAAATTCACCGGTCTAATTATTTTATCCGTGATCGTAAATGATCCTAAATGGTATCCATGGAAAATGCTAAGAAAGGCTCATACGGCATTGTTTAATGGTAGAAATTGTATAAAATGTAATTTGAAAAATGGTGAAAATGTCTTTGAAATCAATGAAAAGTGTTTTGAACTTCCGCTCCATTATTTTAGTGGAAAGTACTTCTAAAAAAAAATAAAATAAAATAAAAATTCAAAATATATTTTCTGATAAAAAAAAGAAAGAAAAGAAATTCCCCATATTTGGTTGTCCTTCAAACTAATATACTCAAATTTGTATTAATGGTAGTGGGGTGGTAGTTGTGGTGGCGAGTGGTAGTAGTGGTGGCGATAGTGACTGCAATGGTGATTGTGGTGGCAACTCACAGCAGCGGTGTTAATGGAGTGGAAGTCATGGTGGTGGTCTACTGGCAATGGTGTGGTGTGGCGAAGATGTTAGCAGTAATAGTGTGGAGGCATTAAAAAAAATTTAGTTTAAAAAATATTTATCTTTTAAAAGTAAAATTTATTTTTTGCTTAAATAGAACTTTTTTCATTAATCGCTAAAAACATTTTTCTTTTAACCATATGTTGAAAAATGTAAAAAAATATTTTCAATTCAAACAAACAAAATATTAGCCAAAATCTCTTGTAAATATATGTAATGGGCGCAGGAAAAGAAGGGCACGGGGTCACGTGCCCCTCAGTTTTGAACTTATTTATTTATTTATTTATTTGTATTGTCATATGCAAAATGTATTTTCCTCTTTTTCCGAATATGTTCTTTGGTTAAGGATTTATTATATTGTTCACAAAAAGTAATTATTTGATACTTTAGGAGTATTATGTGATATTTTTATGTAATAGTGTAAACTAATAGTGTAGTGAAAAATCTTATAGAGTTGATATAATGAGCTCATTATTTTCAGGTAATTGACAGATCACTTAGTGTAATTTGTGATTTCTCATGCTTTGAGCATCACTTAGAAATATTTTTAATATTTTTTTTTGAAATAAAAATTAAATAGATTTTATAATAATTTGTGCTATAAATGATGTGTTTTTATTTTTTAAAATTAGAAATTTTAATCCATAATTTTTTGTACTAAAATTACAAACTTACATCACTATCCCACACCGAACTATTCCACATTGTTATAGAATTTTGATTTGTTTCTATTAATAATAAATATTTAATTTTTTATGCTTAAATTTAGCTCATAAAATTATTATTATCTTAATATTAATCATAATTTTTTTAATAAAAAAGTATAATTAATAATGGCCCGCTAACTTAGGGTTGGTTTGGGGTGTACTAAAAAAGTGCACTTTTTGTCTTTTTACGAAAAGATGTGCAGAAAAGTAGAGAGGTGATGTGATGGAAAAAAGATAAAAAGATAAAAAGATGGATTATATAGTAGATGACAAACAAGGCCTTAATATTGCACGCACAAAAACAAAAAGCAAAAAATATCCATCAATCAAACCGTGGTCACTTCCCTCTTAGAAACTTGCTCTGCAAACTGTTTTTTTTTCCTTGGAAAGCAAGATATTTGAATGGAATCCACCAACAAAATTTCATTCTTATTTTGTATTTTAAAAAAAAAAAAAATAGTGATCAACTTTGAATTGATTTCCTTCAATAGTCCAATTGAATACAACTAGTAGGGTTGGTCATCATCACCCTTGTTGGGAAGTGAAATTACAGAAAAGCCCTCATAGTCTTGCCCATCTAGTTGATCAAAAACCATGGCCTTCGCTGGAATTCAATCCACCCAAAAAATGTCATGTTTGTTTTTAAGCCTTCTTTTGAGATATGAGGTGACTTTTTAATTTTTTAGTTAGTATTTAATTTAGGATTAAAAAGTTTAGATTGGAATGAATTTTTTAATTTTTTTGACTTTTGTGAGAGAAAAATAAAATAATTATAATTTAGATTTGACATTTTATCTTATTAATTTTTTAGCTTATTTTATCTTTTTATAACTAAAATACCCCAAAAAAAAAACCTGCCAAACATTTTATTTATTTATTTATTTATTTTAGGGGGTTTAATTTCACTTTTATCCCCTTAATTACCACAATTTTTTCCCCTATGATTTCATATAGTCCTACTAGAGACAATTTTTACTTATGTGGTTCAATTGTCGACGATTGTAACCAAATTTGATTGGAAAAGGGTAATTTTAAAATTGAAACAACTTAAATCATATGACAAAAACCCATTAAATAAGTTGTGGGGTGTAGTTTATTCAAATTAGTTTAAGATATTCAAATTTATGAAATACGTTCTTTGGGTCAAATTAGTTTTCAACTGTTATTAAGTTCTATAATCATTCTCCAATTGGACCACATGAAGATAAATTAGAAACTTTAGCGACTAAATAGACGAAAGTGATAGCTTAGGAATGAAATAGAAAAAATGGTGATAGTTTAGGGACGAAAGTGAAATTATCCTTCTTTTTTCCCCTTCTTATTAACATGATAGATAGAGTTTAAATCAGTTTGATTGTTGCAAAAATTAAGTTTCCTTAATTTTGAAAGATGGTCTGTCAAATTTGAAATTTAATTAGATATATCCGGTCTTCGTGAGAACCATTTGAATCAAGTAGTGTCCCAAATACTAGTTGCAACTGAAAAATTCGAAAGCTTTTCTTTGTGGCGATAATGCCAAAATATCAAGTTGGCTTAGTTGTCTTGTCTTTATCTTGATCATGGTCCTTAGAGGCCTGTCCGCATCTATGTGCTCTTTAAATTGTAACACGTTTCGATTCTCTTAAAGCTTAACACTGATTCTGTTACTTAAAATTAGTATTTTTATGGTTGATTTTGTGTTAATTTTTTCCCCTGAGAAAATTACTTTTGTTGAACTTTTGTTTTTAAAATTCACATGTTTGAATTTCACGAGCCTGCAATGTTTGGTTGTTCAACTACTATTTAATCTTGTGTCTTTACAGATATTTTTCTATACAATTTCACCCTCTGAATATTGCATTTATCTTATCCTGGATATGAGTAAGTTCAAATGTTGTCAGCTTTTATACTAATTTTATTGCAATATTAATCATACTTAATTTGCACTATGGTTTATTTTATTGGTTACGAAGAGTCTTGTTTGATGTGGTTGTATGAGAGAACCAATGGAAGTCGGCTGCTTTGTTGACAGTCTTATTTTTTCAATTGTTGTAAATGAGATCAGAAGCCTCAAGTTATTGTTGGCATTTTCAAATACTTCATGATCGATAAAACATTGTTGCCGTGTACTTGGTAGGCCTATTTTGTTTACTTCTTACATTAAAATTGCCATTTTTTTTTCCAGCTGTCTACATAAAGATGTGACAAGTGTTTATCTTGAATCTTTATATACCACAGCCTTTGATCATTAACATCATCAATCTCTCTGTCACTTCCTCTCCAACTTATTTCCACTGTTTAGAACTTGAGATGTAATGATGTTCAAGAAATTGAGATGTAATGATGTTCAAGAAATTGATAATCTATACGGGACTCAATACCCATTTCAGAAGCAGCTTTGTCACGTTTATATTGATAGTACTTATAAGAATGGTTATAATTAGCATAAATGTAGGAATTTTTCCTATTATAATTTGTATCTGTGGCGTGTGGTTTTTATGTGGACAGAATATCTTTCCAATGGGAAGGCTGAATTTTTCTAGTTTAAGCTGTTGATGCATCCTCCCTACCCACAAACTTCAGATGATTTTCCATCATTTCTGGAGCCAGCTCGCTTCATATACGAGCACACTCTTTGTGACATGTTTCTTTAAATAGCCTCTTTTTTCTTTTTTTCTTTTTCAAATAATAATAAAAGCTTGGCGATCTTTTCACAGGAGAAATCTATTCATTTGATTTTGTTTATGAGCATTTTGTCCTTTGACTAAGAAGTTTTTCCTGACAGCTCATGATTTTCATAAGGACACTGGTTCTCCTGTGGGTGCGTTAGTTTCTCAAGATGTTAACAGGTCTGATGACTTGAAGCAGCTTTATCCAGAGCCATCACAATGTACGTGTTATGTCCTGGAAGATGTTTCTCTCAGTGAGCTTGGGAACGGTCAGACTGAATTTCTACATATTCAAGATGATAAAAAATTGGCATTAAGCTCCAATTTAGTTCAACCTGCCGACAAGACTGATAACTTCAATGTGGAGAAGGAAGATAAATGCAAAGATCTAGATCAAACTGAACCAACCACTGTAACTTCTGAGAAATTTTTTCCCAAATGTGCAACATTTGCATGCTCTGGTAAGAAAGCATCCCTTGCTGTGTCTGCAAATGTGGAAGATGACATAAATGCTGCAGTATTGGAGAAAAATGGCCATGAATCTGTTAATCCTACATGCCCTCAATCCATATCCTTGCGTGTAAGTTTGCACTATATTTGTTTTCATTTTATGTTTTTTTTTTTCTTCATATTATTACCAAGTCATGATGCTTGGATTCCTATCATGTGAGTTTGACGCTGGAGCAATTCAAGACATAATCAATTGTCTTAAAAGTTGCTCGTGTCATTTGCAAGTACTTGGGCAGTAGTTAGGTGGATGCTTTAATTGTAGTTAGGATGTTACTACAGATGCTATTTGGAAGTAGTTAATGGATTTTGATCATTATTTTCAATGCGTGTTTTTCAGTTTCTTACAAGTGTAGGGTATGCATGCCAGAGGCAGTTGGGGTTGAATCCTGTTACATTTTGAGGGAAGCATTTATGTGTGTATTAGGTGCCTCTTAAGTGTGTTCCACCTTCCCATTCGTTCTACCCGAGCCAGATTAGTTAAGATACTTTTTACAATTCTAATATATCTTAGGTAGACGATACTATAATGAATTCGTTTTTGTCCAAGTAACCTGTAATTGATTGGAAGTTGCATTGTATGTTAAGCGTGTGATTTATGTTGCAAGTTGCCACTAGTTGACTGAAATGGTTACTTATATGGTACCAATTCTTTCTAGTTTTCTCTTTTATCAACTTTTTTCTTTTGAAAAGAAAAAAGAAAATCTAAGCAAAACATTTTAAATTTTGGAGACATTGGACATCATTTCAGGTTGGCTGAAATTTCTTTTACCCTTGGCTTCTATATTAGATTGTTGTGTGGAAGCTGGTGATAACCAAAGATGTTAAAATCCACCCACTACACCACTACCACCTCACCTACTCCACTAAACCTAACCCACTACACCACTACCACCTCACCTACTCCACTACCTCGAGCCACATTTTTTTTTGGACAGTTCTGTTTATTCTTTTCTCTTCATGTTTTGCTTTCTTGCAGACTCCTTCAAAGCTAGTATCTGCCATGAAGGGTAGCCGTGAGAAACAGGGGATGACACCTCCAGAGAAACTGACCGTCAGATGGGTGCCTGATGTGTATGATCCTCCTCCATCAATATCTACATCCACATCTGGGAAGATCAAGAAACCACGGCCCAAGAGTGAAAGTAAGAGGTATTATGATTATAAGAACGGAAAGAACAAGTAGAAGGGCAAACCTTCTAAAGGGAGCAGCAGTAAGGACAAGAAACACGTTTGAAAACACGGTGGGAGTTTTAACAAGTATTACCAAACGTTAGACAATGATGACAGAATGGTCGACTATAATGAGCCTTGCGGTGAATCGGGGGGTTTTGGTGTTGGTAGCCCAAACTCATATTGTGGGAGCAGTTTCCTTAAGAAATCTGTCAGAGAGTTGCATTTCTCCATTGCAGAGGCTACATGAGCCTTATCTTCAATCACCACCGAGTAGGCCTTTCTTCTCATTCATGGTGTTAATAAATAAAGTACTGTTTTAGGGTCTTGTTAACTGTAGTTATAGTACTTCGGAAACTTTTGACAATTTTCTTCTGCAGTGCTGCTATTGGTAAATCTGCATTAACATCCTCACAAACTTCAGGTTTTGTCCATAGATGAGTTTTTACAATCTAAGCTGCCCTTTCTTTTTTCCTGGTTTAAAGGAAATTGTCGTGCTCTTGTTCTTCATCGATTCTAGTCGGTGGGTGTTCCTGGTTTATGTTATTTCGTGTGTGGTTGGTGTTGGAATTTTGACCACAGTTTATTATAAACCATTTTCCTGCCCCTGTTCGGCCAGTGGGAAAAGTTCTCTATTGGGAAAGCTGGAACTGTATTGGGTTATATAATTAGGACTGAAAGGCAAGTTGTGTGTTAAGTTTTTCAAGTTTGATTTGATAACTTAACGATTGTTAAATTATGTTTAAGTTTGATTTATTTACATAACGAGTCAATATTAAACAAGATTTTAACAAATTGATATGAGTTGAACAAGATTTTAACAAATTAATGAGTTGAGCTCGAATAACTTAGATAAGGTTTGGTTTGCTTTTGGATACTCAATTATGTTTTTAAATTATAATTGGGATGAAAAATGTTTACTAAACATATTTTTAAAATACAATTCAAAATTATTTTTAAAACTCCTATCTTCTCTTTATTTTATTATTATTATTATTCAATCAATTAATTATTTTTTTCTCTCTCATCTCTCTTCTCACATTCTTTTACATTTTATACATCAATCAATCTAAAACAAAAAAAAAAAATTACAAATCATTTCAAAATTATTTTTAAAACTTATAATCAAACAAATTTTCTCTTTTCAAATCATAATTTAAAAATTCAAAATATAACTTCACACTCAAATTATAATTTTAAAACTAATGTAAGCTTATTGATTCAAAAAGTAAATTATTTAAATTTAGTTTAAAAACTTAGCCAGTGTAAACATGTGTTTACCTTTACTTTTGGTTTGTGAAAAGATAATTTTTTTTAATAAAATTATATATGTTCGGCAATTGTTTAAAAAAATCATATTTTTTTCTCTTTGCATTAAATTTCTTTTGGGAAATTTTTTTTAAGGTCCCTGGTATTAAGATTTTACAGCATAAAGGACACTCAATATTTTCATAATGTCTAAAGTCCCTCAACATCAATCCAAAGAAAATTCTAAATTTCTCTGGACACATCACAGAGAAAATTTCAAATTTCTTTAGACAACAATGAGTACTAGTGCTCTACTTCAGAAAAAATTGGGTTGGTCCAGAGAAATTCTTTAGTTTGGACTCAATTTTCTCTGGGTTGAACCAGTGCTCTACTTCAGAGAAAATTGGGTTGGTCCAGAGAAATTCTTTGAGTTGAACTAGTGCTCTGCTTCAGAGAAAATCGAGTTGGTCCAGAGAAATTCTCTGGTTTGGTCCAGAGAAATTCTTTGATTTCCAAAGCTTCCACATATTATAAGGATGAAACACTGGAATATCTTGTCAATAATTGCCTTAAATCACATGTGGTTTTCGTTTTGGGAAAATAAAAGGAGCAACTTTGTAAAGAAATTTTAATCAATGGACAAAAAAAGAAAAAGGAATTCAAATGAATTGGAGCACTGAGAGAAGAAATCTGTGGGTTATAAAATGAATTCAATTCTCAAGTTGACATCATTCAAAACATAAAAGAGAGTTCTTCAATATAACAAACAAAGCCTATATAATACTAACAGCATATCACCACCACCCAACATGTGTGGCAAACAAACTACCGCCTCAGGCTCTCCACGATGTAGTCCGCATAGAGATTCCTATAGAAGCAAAATGCACAATGAGATTAAGACCATAATCCATGCCAGATGAGATTGATGACAAGCACAACAACAAATTTGCTGAAATTCCCAAAATCCAACAGGAAACTCCAAATATTAAAAATATAAATAGATGTGATCTATCGATTCCACAGTAATATACTCAATGTGGAGATGTCAGGAACAACTATATTAATTGTCCCAAATTCGAATAAAAATAGTATAAACATTTTTATGCAATGTATCTGATAAGCTACTATTGTTTTGGGCATGAATGGATGATTTCCAAAGACAGCATTGGGTCACACACCTTGATATTGGAAACAACATCACATAAGCTAACATATACAATATATACCAGACAATTGAATAGTTATGATATTTATATGATGAACCCAATGGCTTTCTCTCTTAAATCTCAAGATATGTAACTAAAAATAAAGTTTTGCTTAAAAGAGAGATGCCAAGGGTTATCCTACCAAATAAATAAATTATTAAAACTAAATTAATTTTGTATTTAAACTATTAAAATAGCTACACACTGAAGGTAAGCCCTTTTGGTTAGGGTTGCACCACGAGTGGCTTCTACCAAATTCAGTTCAACCAAAACTTCATTAATAATGTGTCATCCATTGCTGTATTGGTTAGTCCTTCTAAATCTAATACTGTGCAAATTAAGGAAGATGGGAAAAGAACACTGAAAGGGCGTAAAAATGGAATACTGGATCGCATCATAAGCATCTGAGGTAGGCAGAAAATCGTTAACTGCAACTTCCTTGTTCTCATTTTCTTGTCTAATTACTCGTTAAGAGAATAACATTCTTTCGATACATTCCTTTTGTACCCATTTTCCTTAAAGAAACGAATTGTATAGACTAGAAAAAATTGTTACACAACGCAGAGTCAATTGCACAATATGAACTAAAACTTTTAGAAGGATACAGTCCTCAAAGAAGCGGCGGATCTCAGCCAATCGATGTGGGCTGTCCACCCAAATGAGGTGCAAGTGCAAGGCTGCAATACTATTGTCCTTGGGTGGTCAAGAAAGCTTGAAAGCAAATAATGTGGTTCATGTAAGAGGTAAGTTGTGGCCTGATTACTGTGATCACTATCTTTACATGACTTGGCACAGCTGTCCTACAATCTGTTCATGACAGATAAAACTATAGGTTCTGCTAAATTTCATTACATAGGACACCCGAAAATATATAATTTTTCAGGGTCTGATTTAAATGAAACAAAATGCTGACAAATCCACCAAGCAAGACATGAACCTTTTTCCCCTTAATTATACGACAATGTAGTTGAAAATCTAACATGACTAAGGTTCATTCCAAGGTAAATAGACTTAATTTTTCTGGGGCTTTTTTATTTTTTAAAATACCCTGCCTGAACACCTCATTGACTACCTTTTTATTTCTTCTATTCTCAATAGAAAATATTTCCCAAAGAGTGCTCATTCTCTCACAGGATCACTGGGTTCTAAATTATTTCATGTAAAACATTACTTGCTACATTTAAGCTTTATCAAGCCTCAAAATTTTCGGTACATCCGTAAAATGAAAATCAATATTGCATGCATAATCTGCAAATGTCTGCAAATGTCTGCAAATGTTTGCAAATGTGAAAAAATGCATATCAAACAGCACACCTGCATGATAACTAAGACATCCATGGGGTCCTTGTCCTCACAGAGAGTACGAGGGATGAAGCCATAATTATGGGGGTAAACAACTGATGAGTAAAGCACACAGTCAACCTGCAACATGTATCGGCTTTAGCAACCATTAACGATCAAAAACAGATACTGAGATTAATGACTGACTATGCATGATTACCTTGATCATTCCCGTTTTTTTGTCAAGTTCATACTTCACTTTACTCCCCTTACTGATTTCAACCACCTGCAATAATTAATTATATTTATACTAGTCTTTGTGAATTGAAAATTTTATACTTTATGATTTTCGACATTGCTATAGATCATTGGAACAATAAAATTCATCTGAAAGAGATTAAAACTAGACAGTTTATTCAAGAAAAGAACCTGTAGAATGAAAGTCAAAACAAAGCTGTATATTTATAAAATAAAATAAAATAAAATAAATTCAAATTGACAGTTTAAGAGTTTTTCTAACAGACAACTGAGGACTTATTCAAACTCCATGTTTATTACAAACAACACAGGTAGGCGTTTTTTTCTGAGGATTTTAAAACCCAATTCTGCTTTTTGTAGTAGAAATATATTCCCTCTGGTTGCTCATAAAAGAGAGCAAAAGTTGGTCACTGTCTCTACTAATAAGAAAACAAAAATTTCAAAGAATATCATGCCAGAACCATAGGGCAATCAAGTATACAATAAATTGTATTATCAAATTGAGGGTAATGGTCATAAAATTTTCTTATCATATTAGGTCCTTAACCATCGTTCAATCAATTATCTGATAAAATGTAGGATCACTGCCTGTGAACACCTTTGCATGCATGGTACAGAATTAGTACTTCAGCAAAAATAGACCAGAACAACTTTTACAGTCATTCGTGGGGAATGGGGATGCTACAGAACAATTAATTATAGTTGCAAGTTGCTTTCTACATATTCACATCAGGTATTGAGAAAGTAGGACCTTAAAGCAACTTATAGGTCAGTGAGATACCTTAATATCACACGTGAACTTGGTTAGGAGTGAAATTTTAATTGAAAACAAAGGTGTGACCATCAAACAGTACACCCACATAACAGTTGTACAAAGGGACCATATGATGGTAATTGGTAATTATGCATGTATCAGTATTCCATCTATTCCATGTACACGGTTATAAGGTTTATTACCTGGCATTATAATATAAAACACACATTTTGATTTGGTTAAGCTACGGTTTTCCTCCAACTTTTAATAATTACTGTAGGTTAACTATGTGATCAACTTCAACTACATTCTTGATATTCCTTAAATAGACCTACAGCTATATAAATCTTAGCAGGTTAGTATAATAAATTCAATGTAAGCCTGTCTTTGTTTGTCCCAATCGAAACTAGTAACAAATTGTTGGCAATTACTGAGCAATATAATAAAATGATGTACTTTAACAACATCCAGGTCCCAAAACTTTAAAATGAAACTCAACTAGGGTATGTTTCTCAGAAATTAAAAGATTCAAATTGCAGGCCATGTGAAATTCACGTCAGGTGAAAACTTTCAATGACAGGTAAACAAAATTCTGGTTTCATGCATAGTAAACCAAGTAAGTAAACAATCCATATTTAAATTTAAATTATTAAAAGCATTTAACCACTCTTTAGCAACGCCTATTCAATATCACACAGATCTAGCATACAAGTTGAGAGTAACGAATGCCCTTTGATTAGTCCTATATAGTTGACTCACATTCACAAAAAACCAACGTAATTGGATTGTTGAATGCATCATATGGAAACAACACAACTAACAAACATCAAAAAACCTAAACCTATTCAAATCATATTTTCCTAATTTTATAAACCAACCCAGCGAGTTCACAAAGGTGAAAGGGGCAGTTTCGAAGAAGGGGATTTCAGTCTAGGGTTTCATAGAATGGAGATAGAGAAAGGGAGAGAAACAAAAACATTAAATAACACAAACAATCAACCTAAGCTCATAAATTACACCTGGAAAAACAAAATCAAGTCTTCTTCAAAGGAAATGGGAATGAATAAAGATGGGTTTTCGATTTTTTTTACTTAATCATACAAAAAATTCCATATCCTCTACTTAAAAATCCTAAATTTGAAAATTTCCTCTTAGTACAGACAAATCGAAGATAATACAATAAAAGTAAGGGCTTTGGGCAATTATGAACTACGTACAAACCAGTTTGTAATCGAGCTCGAATACATCTAGGGTTTCGTCGTCGCTGCAGGGGGTTGGGCGTTATCCAATAGGTTGTTTAATTTGGAGATGACGGTGGAGACGAAGGTGGTGGAGACGATGGCAGGAAGTGTAGGATCCCTTGACAGAGAGTGACACCTAGAGGGTTAAAATCAGTTGTTCGAAATAAAACAGAATAGGAGAGAAAGGTGTGGGACTTACCTGGATGTGGTGATGATCGCTAGCTGTGGCAATGGGCAGCAGCGACGATTGGAGAGAGAGAGAGCGTAATTTCTCCAAATGTTAGGTCTGAAGAAAAGGTCCAGGGGTTTGTCAAAAAAAAATAGGAGGGAATTTTGGTTTGGACAAAATTTCGAGGGTTTGTTCCAATTTTTTTGACATTGGGAGTCGAATCTTAAGGGAAAGGAAGTTGTGGTTATACAAGAGGAGTATGTTGCTCGATGCGATTTTTACATGCGTGATCAAGGGCACAGTGTTTCAGCCTCAAGCAGAGTACCATTATATGCATGAGAAGAATAATTACATGCATAGGTATCTGATTAGTGTAAATTAATTTAGAGTGATGAGTGAGAGACAGAGAGAGAAAGAAAGAGAGAGAGACAGAAAAAGAGAGAGAAACAAAAGATAAGCGAGAGATAGACAAAAAAAGAGAAAAACATAGCGAAAAGAGATGAACGAGAAAGAGACATAGAAAGATAGAGAGATAGAGAGAGAAAAGAGATGATCGAGAGAGACAAATAGAGAAGAGATATGAGTAAGAAGATAGATGAGTAAGAGAGATAGAGAGATAGAGATAAAACGATGAACGAGAGAGGCATAGCGAGAAAAGAGATGAGAGAGATGAGCGAGAGAGAGAGATAGAGAGATAGAGAGAAGGGAGATGAGCGAAAGACACACACACACACACACAGACAGACAGACAAACAGACAAAGAAAAGTGATGAGTGAAAGAGAGAAAGAGAAGAGACAGAGATAGAGACAGGAAGATGAAAAAATAGGTGAAAAGAGAAATGCTATATCAAAAGAAAAAGAGGAATAGTTAGGATATGTGTCATCCCAAAGTCAATCTGACATTGAGACTAATCTAACCATCTCAAACCCAATCCTAAAAAAGTTCAAATTCCAAGTCCGATCACTTAATCCAATAAATATAAACTATTATTTTCTTGAATGTGTATTAAATTATTTAAATCTTTTTATATATCATTGAATTCATAATGTTAATAAAATTAAATGGTAAAATGAAAATGATTTTTAACAAGTGTTTTAATTTAATTCATACAAAGAAGTATATATATGTTTTTTTTTTGTCTTATATATATTTTTACTTTGTCTTATAATTAAAATGTTATAAAATTATAATTACTATTTATATAAATAAATGAACTTGGTTGTAACTCTATCTGCATCTTTACTCGAACATTAAATGGGTGCAAAATTTCAGCTCAGCCCAGTACTATAGGCAAAATAATTTTTTCAAATCCTAAAAATATTGGCCTGGGTTGAGCGGGCCATTGAGCCGATGGCCACCCCTAGTGTAATGTCACAATTTTTTTATTTATCCAAAATAACCTCGCATAATTATCACTTGCAACTAACATGTGTCCTGCAAGTAATTAAAATTATATTCCAATCAAAAATTTTATTTTTATTACACACCCATTGAGCGACCACACACCACTAGTTGTATATGCCCAAAATCATTTTCCAACAGTTATATATGTGTGTACAAATTGAAAACAACAAAACCTTTTGAATCAATACTTAGGCCAAAGGTTTGTGTATGCATGACATTAATGTGAAGGAACTAGAGTTTTAAGATAGATGCATTTAGTAAATATAAAAATATCACCATCAATATAGTTGAAGTGGATAGAGAGAGCAATGATGAGCTCAAGGATCTTGTACAGAGACACAGGAGTAGAGAGAGACAATTGAGGTTGAAAGAGTAAAAATCCAGCGAGAAAGAACTATCAATGTTGGTCATTTGATAATTTGAGCGATTGAGTAAGAGACAGAGAGAGTTGAGGCACAACTAAGACAAATCGAGGGAAAGAAAATTGAACGGGGAAATAAAAGAGGAAAAGTTTGGAAAAAAATTTAAGAGCACAATGATTTAGTAAAATCATTGAGGTTGAAAGAGTAAATTTAAGAAATAAATAAAATCAAATTGTAGATAAAATTTTTCAACACATTTTTTGTTAAAATTTCGTCAAATTATTTATATGTATGTCTATGTGTATATAGATATTTTAAAATGTATATTGTTTGTATATTACTCTTTTTATTGTATTTAGTAGATACTATGACTAAAATAAATCTAAAATAGAGATATGTGATCAAAGCTGGTTATGAGATATGTGGTTAGTGGTTTTGAGTTAGTTATGATCAAAGTTAGGGGTTATGGGTGAAAATGATGTTAGTTATAAGATGTGGCTCTGAGATATGTAATGGTAGTTATGATCAAAATGGTATGGTTACGAGCCAAAAGGTATTGGTTATGAGATGTGTTATGAGATATGTGATTAGTGGTTATGAGTAAAGTGGTGTGGTTATGAGCCAAAGAATGTTGGTTATGAGATATGTGATTAGTGGTTATGAGTAAAGTGGTGTGGTTATGAGCCAAATAATGTTGGTTATGAGATATGTGATTAGTGGTTATAAGTAAAGTGGTATGGTTATGAGCCAAAGAGTATTGATTATGAGATATATGACTAATGGTTACGAGATATGTGATGTTAATTATGATCAAAGTGGTGTGACTATGAGCCAAAGGGTGTTATGAGATATGTGATCAGTGGTTATGATATATGTGATGTTAGTTATGAGCCAAAAGGTATTGGTTATGCGATATGTGGGTAATGGTTATGAGATATATGATTGTTGTTTATGAGATATGTGATTTTGGTTATGAGCAAAGTGGTGTAGTTATGAGTCAAAAGAGTGTTTGGTTATGAGATATGTGATTATTAGTTATAAGATATGTGATATTGATTATGATCAAAGTGATGTGGTTATGCGCAAAAAGGTGTTGATTATGAAATATGTAATGTTGGTTATGAGTCAAAGGGGGATTGGTTATAAGATGTGGTTATGAGCTATAAGAGTAGTAGTTACGAGATATGCGATTAATGTTATGAGATATGTGATATTGGTTATGATAAAAGTTGTGTGATTATGAGCTAAAGGATATTGGTTATGAGATGTAGCTATGAGATATGTGATTGTAGTTATGAAATATGTGATATTGGTTATCAACAAAATGGTGCTGGTTATGAAATGTGGTTATGAGATATGTGATGAGAGCTCATAACTAAGTTATGATTAATTTGATTCTAGTTATGAACAAATATGATTTTGGCTCATAACTATAAAAAGTGACCTGCTTACTAGGTCACTTTTAATGATGTGGCTCAATCTGAACCATTGATTTTCTATGTACCATACATTTTTTAAACAAAATGTACTATAGGCTTTCCCTTATCTTGGGGGTGGTTTGGCCACTCTTTGTAAGTTATTTTTTCAAGAACAACCCTATTGTATCATCATTTATTTATATATCTTGACATGTGTTCCCAAATCATGTTTGAAAAATGTGTAATTAATAATTGTTGATTGGCTTTTCCCTTCTATGGATCGACAAGTCAAATTAAAAAAATCATGTGCAGAACCAGTTATCCTCTGTCAGTGCCTCTTCCTCAACCTTACTGGTATCAATCCATCATCCACAAGTCAATAATTTGATTCCTCACATCCATATATTAAACCTTGTGAACATGATCAACTTACTCAAAACTGCTATATGAATGTATTGAATTTGAAATACACAAACATTAATTAGAAGATATAACATTCATGTGCGGACCAGTTTCCGCAATAGAGTAAGATGGAACTTTGTGGACGAACCCTGGTGCACCAATGGGATTAAGTTGGCGCCAAACCTTTTGGCGACTAAAAATATTAACTCGTCGCCAATTGTGTACTTTTGGCGACAAACAATTATATTGTCGCCGATTATGTAAAATTGGCGACTAATTTCAGTTTGGTTGCTAAAAAGCGTCGCCAAAGATGTTTTTTGTTGTAGTGTTAGAAGATATAACATTCATGTGCGGACTAGTTTCCACAATAGAGTAAGATGGAACTTCGTGGACGAATCCTGGTGCACCAATGGGTGAAGGCCTGCACGAGGAACAAATAGTTAGGCTGCCTGACCGGGGGTTGGTCGGAAACCCCTCCGACGGTCGAGTCAGTACCGGAGTTTGGTAGAGACAAGATAGAGAAGACCAATCTGTTTCTAGAGTTAAGAGATCGCGCCTTTCAAGGAGAGTCAGGTTGCCTTTTATAAGGATCGTATGACTTATTTATCAAGCTCCCTCATTCTACGCCCGGTCTTCAGCCGTGATGGTAGCACATCCCTTAATAGAGGGGAGTAAGATCCGTCATTCGCGGGTTTACTTTACAGGGTATTGATTGATCTGTTAGCACTCATGTTGTCGTTGAGTGAGAGCCTTGGATCCCATGTTATGGACTTACCCACTTCGGAGTGGGGAGTGGTGCTAGGGCCAGGCCTATGGTCTTCTCTTCTTCGGAGTGGGGAGTGGTGCTAGGGCCAGGCCCATGGTCTTCCCCTCTTCGGAGTGGGGAGTGGCCCAAGACTGATCCTTTAGTTCGGCCCATCATAGAGTGGAGAGAGAGAGAGAGAGAGAGAGCCCACTTCGGAGTGGGGACCTTCGTCCAGTCCAACAAGGCTCCATACAAATAGGCTTGAGTACGGAGTAGGGACCTTCGTCAGTACAGAGTAGGGACCTTCGTCTAGTTCAATAAGGTTTCATACAAATAAGATTGAGTAATTGTGCTCCCTTCAATTCAGATGCCTATCTTTCCTTTCCTAAATGCCCCTTTATTTTAATTCTGTCCAAATTTGTTAGTCTTTTTCAATTGTGAAGTAATTAAAAGTAAATTATAAAATTATAGTAATATAAAGTTGCTATAATTAGAAGGGTAAATTATAAATACATTCTTGAGATTTGTTTAAAATACGAAATGCTTATTGTAATTTTAGAAATTATAAATACCTTATTGTTACGATTTTTTAATTAACAAAATTAACAAAAAAAGTGAAATTTCTGACTATCATCCCATACAGTAATAAAATTACCTAAATTTTTAATTGAAATATATTCTTGATATCATTAACAACGGTTAATTGATTTGATAATTTTTTAATAAAAATTATTAATCACACTTAAAAGGTGTGATCTAAATGTTTTTAATCACACTTAAAAAGTGTGATTAAAAATGACCCCTTTTAATCACACTCCCAAAGACCACACTTTAATAAAATTAAAAAGGTGTGATTAAATAACAAATATCACACAAAAAAAAAGTGTGATCTTTATCTATTTTTGTAGTAGTGTTTCCTAAATGCCCCTCTATTTTAATTCTGTCCAAATTTGTTAGTCTTTTTCAATTGTGAAGTAATTAAAAGTAAATTATAAAATTATAGTAATATAAAGTTGCTATAATTAGAAGGGTAAATTATAAATACATTCTTGAGATTTGTTTAAAATACGAAATGCTTATTGTAATTTTAGAAATTATAAATACCTTATTGTTAGGATTTTTTAATTAACAAAATTAACAAAAAAAGTGAAATTTCTGACTATCATCCCATACAGCAATAAAATTACCTAAATTTTTAATTGAAATATATTTTTGATACCATTAACAACGGTTAATTGATTTGATAATTTTTTTTAATAAAAATGATTATTTGTTATACGATTAGAAACTTGAAGGAATACTATGTAATTTCTATAAGAAGAAATTTGTGTTTTAGGTAAATTTCAGGGATGCATTTACGATTAGAAACATGAAGGAATATGATGCAATTTCTATAAGAAGAAATTTGTGTTTTAGGTAAATTTCAGGGATACATTTGTAATTTATCGCATTGTAAAATTGATACAAAACAAGCTACATGAACAATGTAAAGATGATTGTTACATATACCTTTATTTTGTTACCTTTTTATTTTATTATTTTTTTTATCACCAAAAAAAGAATTTATTGATAAATAAATATACAACAATGGAAAAACATCAATAAAGTGGAAGATGTGGACAAAGCTTCACAATAGAAGTACACCATCCCAATTAGGTTGGTACTGCATGACTTACCCAAACAAAAGCTAGCACTTTCCCAATTGGGATGGTACTGCATGACTTACCCAAACAAAAGCTAGCACTTTCCCAAAGCTTGGTGAGAAACCAACAAACAAAGCCAAACAAAATAACAAGAACAGAAAACCAAAACAGAACATCAGCCCCATTCCTGGACCAAACCCATTCCTGGACCATCTTTACAGTTTAATATCACCAAATAGATGGTATTATAATATCTATCTTTATTATTTCTTTAAAAGTAAATAAAGAAAAACCAATCTTGAGTATCCCGTGATACGAAAAGCATTGGGTGATATCCAACAGGTGAAATCTTCAGACTTTCTACAAGAATTCGTTCGCCAAGAGACATACAAACTATTGTATTCTATTCAAGACCTTTCTGTGTGACAATCGATTATTCATGAACATATTAGAAACACATTGGCCTATTCATTGTGTAACAAAGTGTTGAACTTGCTGTGAGAATTTATTCTTCAAATATATTTAGACAAAAAGCCTTGTTATCTATAAAAAAAAAACTAACTTGACAACTTCCTAGGTTTTGAAGGAGTAATCTTGATGACAAGTCCAGGGAAAACATCATCTGGGTCATGGATATGTGGATTCTTCTCAACGATGAAAGGGTCGCCGCACTTGTCGCTGATCGTATGGAGGGTTTCACCTTCTCCAACCACATATATTTCATCGCAAGGCCGGTTCAAGAAGTGTTTTCCTCTGACTGGTTCATCTGTGACGAGAGAGCTCTCTTTAACAGTCCCCATCATCATGAGAGCCACTAAGACCATGGCACAGTACCATGAAGTTGCATCAGCCATGGAAGAAGAAGAAGCCATGTATTATATATTAATATGAGAGAGAGGGAGAGAGGGAGAGAGGGAGAGAGAGATGGGTTTTATTTTTTATGAAAGATGGATTATGGAGTTTATATATGGAATTGTGGAAGACTTTTTTTAGCCATTACTTTTGGGGCCAAGTTGATTGGATGACCCATCGACTTTAATTTAGCTTCAACTGTTTCACGATTCATAAAATCATCTTCTATCAAATTAGAAAAAAGTTATTCTTACCCATAATTCGAGCAAGATTTGTTACTAAAATGATGTGGTAGTGACATTTTTACAATTAATAGTTATGAATTCTTTATTTTGAAATGATAGACTCACAATGCAAACAAAAGATTTATAAATGTTTTCTGTATTTTTTTTTTCTATTTACGTAACATTAATCCATCATTTTTTTTTTAATTTGAACATTTTTTGAAATAGAAAGAAATGAAAAATTTAGAAATAATACATATAAAACATTTATATATATATTTTTTATGAAGAACAATATGACAACCATAAATCCAATTGTTTTAAAAATAAAGTCTATAAAAATATTTCTAATATAATTTTTTTGTATTACATTTTTTTATTAGGGATCATTTTGCAATTTTGTATTGTTGTCATGCAATTTATGGCAATATGGGCCATTCTAGAAAGTTCAAATAAAAAAAGTCAACTATCAGTAATGTCTAATGTGTATAAACTGCCCTCTACTACTTAAATAACCTTCAAGTCAAGGCCCACTGATTTTTATTTTTTATTTTTTATTTTTAATTTTTGCTGGAGTCGTTGGACAACCCTTGCATTGATTACAATCTGAAATGCATGCTTACACCTTATTGTATGTGGAATATAGTTCCAACTCTTAACTAAAATCAGCTATCCTTTCTTAAATGTTGCTTATTACCAGAACAGACCACCATATTTTATGAAGGCCGTTGTATTTTTTGGACAATCATGAAACTCACAACCCTAACAGAAAAGATGAGTAGGTTACTACTACATTTCACCCAGTTCAGGATGCATCAACCTTTTCTTTTCTCGATCAAAAAGAACAAAACAAAAAAGATACATCTACTATTGCAGAAACAATAAAACTAGGTATATTACATTCACCTCCTCTGAGATTCAAATAAGTACAATTAGTTTCATATTTTTGACATAATTACACCGATTTTTCTTAAAATATTTTAATTTACATAATAGTTAAGTCACTTTTTTTTATTAATAGTTTGTTAGTCGTATGAATAAAAAAATAATATTATTATCTCTTTTCTATTAATATATATATATCTTTGTTTAGTTTACTGTTTGTCTATTATTCTCATTAGTTTCAATCATTTTAATTTACCGAAAAAGATTATTTAATTATGTCAAAAAAAAATAATTATTAATTGTATTTTTTTTTAAAACTTCAAGAGAGGTTAGTGTAATTTACCTAAAAAAAAACTAGTGTATTATTTGCTTTTGTTCTTCTCTCGATTAAAATCCCAATACTTTTATTTATCAAGGATGCCAATGTATTTTTTAGTTCCCGAAGTTTTTTTTTTATTATTATTTTATGACCGAGTATTTAGGTTAATTTATGCATACCTCAACTAATTTTAGAATCTACGAAAGTACTTCCTTCACATAAATAAAGCAAATCTCAAGAAATAGATTGGCAACTCACCCTACAATTTTATTTTATTTTAATTATAAAAAAGCGATGGTCAGATGGAATACAAGAAGTTTAAACAAATCTAACATGTATTAATTAAAATAAACAAATCAAGAAAGCAAGAAAAATTTAAAGAAGCTTCAGTACGTCCCAGCGAAGATATATATATATATATAGGGGCTGTTTGTTTTTCTCCATAGCAGCCATTGTGAATGATGAACAGTAAAATAATGTCATGTTTGTTTTGAAAATGGAGGTTCGGATTGGTAGTTCCTTTAGAGTATTAAAGGTCTTAGTGGAGTGAATTAAGGTCTTAGTGGAGTGAATTACGAGTCTGGACAAGGAGGTGTTATTAGAAAATAGTTCGTTCGGCTTAAAGTGTTACCGGTCGTCCGGGAGACGTCTGGCAGTTCAACTGGCCAAGTGAAACTTTTTATTTATTTATTTATTTATTTTATACATGTTGGGCAGCACATTTTGAACATTAATATTTAATATTTTGTATTTTTTTGTTCAGTAAAAACCATGATTTTATTTATTTTATTATTTTATATTTTTTTGTATAAAAATAATTTAACAATCCACATACTAACAATTATGATAAAAATAAACACAATTTTACTTGAATCATAATTGGTAGCTCGAATTTCATCTTTATCCCGAATGGCTCGAATTTTGGCTTGCCGATCGGTTGGCTGGTCATTCAGAAAGAAGGCTAATAGTCGAGATCGATAAGGTGACAACCGTAATAGATAAGTGTGATAACGCTTATCCGGGTGGTCGTCCGACAGGCACACATTTGGGCCATTCGGACAAGCTCAATTACAACTATTAATATTTATTGTTAGGTTTTATTTCTTGGCAAACCCGTTTGACAAAACTCTTTTGAGTTGTAATTTTTTTCGCACTTTTATTTCAGTGAGGCTATGAGTGTTTAGATGCGAATTCAACTCGAATTGTGCTTTTCAGAGAAGGTACTACCTATGTTGTCAAATCCGGAGACAAAACATTGTGTTGATTCAATTGTAATTTTTTGTGTTTTTGTTCTATCCGCTCGAGCGGAGCCTTGTGAGCTCGAGCGCAGATTAGCAGGTCTCAATATTTTGTCAGGGCAAGCAAAAAATACTGGTGGGTGTGATTTTACGCTCGAGCGGATTCTCCTACACTTGAGCGCATCTCAGTTTGTTCGCACGCAGTTTTTGGTCTGTCCGCTCGAGCGGGCTGTGTTGAGCTCGAGTGGACCGCGCGATCCCAGATTTCCAGATTTGATTAAGGAGTTGGTTTTCTTCTGAATCTAGGATTACTTTTGGTTCTCTATAAATACTTGGTTTTCTCCCAAAAACTGGGGTATGATGGAACTTCTCCAGATCTTATTTTTGGATCTTAAGGTTTATATCTGGAGAGATTTTGCTAGTTTACTTTGATGTTTTTATTGAGTTTTCAACTCGTGATTTAAAGAGAGTACATCAAAGGTTTGTTTTGTTACACAAAAGAGAGAGTTATTCTTCAGTTGTGGATTCTGAAGAATTCGAGCCTGAAGCTTTGGTGGAATCCGGAGTGGCTCATCAGAAAGACAATTCCGTGGTGAAGATGGGGTTGGAAGAGGCACATAGAGGTTGGTTCAATTAGGCGTTGTGGATTCGCTAGGTAATTGAGAGTATACCTATGTAATTCCTTTAAATCTTCTTAGTGGATTGTTCTTGTGGCTGTTGCCCGTGGTTTTTTGATCACAGTTGAAGGTGTCCAATTGTGGTTTTTTCCACGTTAAAATCATTGTGTTTCTTTGTCTTGAGTGTTTGATTGAGATTGTTATATTCTGCTTAAAATTGATAGATAATCACAAATCAACATCTAGGGGATTTCTAGGATTTTTCAATTAGTATCAGAGCAGGTCGTTCTATTTTTTTTAAAAAAAATTTCTTTAGAACGAGATCTTGTTTGATTTGTGATAATGGATTCAAAGAGATCGGTTAATGATGAATCCTCGGAGAGTGATAATGAAGAGCTTGAGCAAGCTTATGAGAAGTTGTATAAAGAGTCTATTAAGTTATTCAAATTGAATGACAAACTCACAAAGAAACTCAAAGCATGTGAATGTGAGAATGTCAAACTTAAGGAGGAGATTTCCGAGGCCAGGATTAATGCCATCAAGGTAGCTGATGATCGACAAGTTCTTTGTGCAAAATTGTTGACTTGTGAGACAGAGAGGAATGAGCTACTGCAAACCCATGCCATGTATAAAGAAAAGATTGAATCTCTCGAGATGTCACAAGTTGCTTTGGAAGAACTAATAACAAATCAAGAAAGCAAGAAAAATTTAAAGAAGCTTCAGTACGTCCCAGCGAAGATATATATATATATATAGGGGCTGTTTGTTTTTCTCCATAGCAGCCATTGTGAATGATGAACAGTAAAATAATGTCATGTTTGTTTTGAAAATGGAGGTTCGGATTGGTAGTTCCTTTAGAGTATTAAAGGTCTTAGTGGAGTGAATTAAGGTCTTAGTGGAGTGAATTACGAGTCTGATTTAGACAAAAAGTAGCATTCTTCTTGGCATTTGCTAATAAGAGAAGCCCTGCTTGAGACAAGGCCACAACTTGATTAAAGAACACCTCTTCAACTCGAGATTCAGATGAGCTCTTCAAGTCCAATGTCTGGGTACATTGCCATGATTCAGAATCACTAGGGAGCAGCCAGCCCTCTTCACTGGCCGAGGCCCATATCTTCACTTCCCGATTCAGTGGACCCTGTGAACATTCTTTTAAAAATTATATAACATAAACACATCTCACCCTAAAAGGTTGTTAAAAAGCATATTGAAGAAGATAATAACTCTTTAAGTCGGCTGTTAGTCCAATATCAAATCTGCAGACACTGAAGGGTAATGCTAGAGGTGTGTATATTAATTGGTACATATAGCATTATCCATATTATTTTTATTGTTTTCTTTTTGTTCACTGTTTTTAGTGTTTGTGGTTGTTTTTAGTGAGGGGGAGTTTGGTTTCTCATTGCAAGAGTTGTTTAGCATGAACACTTTGTTATGTTTGGTAAGGGAGATTGGCTATGATTGTTTGATTGAGATTGTTATATTCTGCTTAAAATTGATACATAATCACAAATCAACATCTAGGGGATTTCTAGAGTCTTATTCAGGTTTGACTTGATTCGTTATTTTAAAGTGATAGACTCACAATTTAATCACATGTATAAATTTATTGAATTATGATTTGAGATTATCATATCTTAAAATTTTCACTACTGCAATATTTTAAAATTAAAAAAATAAATAAAAAAAACTTCAACCATACTTATACTGAGTCAATAAAATGAGAATTTTCACCCATAC